GCTGGATCACACAGAGGTTAGTGTATCTGATACAGCTTCCCAGCTACTTCAGTGGGAACCATTCAGCTAAAAGCTTGGATGAAGCATAGCCTTCTCAGGGCTGCAGAACAGCCTTCCGCTCTGATCCCGTGCTCGCCCTCAACACGTCTCTGCAATCCTCCTCCCCCCGCAATCAAGAGGAGTAGCTGAGCCAGGAGCAGTGTATTCTGGGAGCCCATCAGGCTCTCTGAGGATGCAGCAGCCACTGCTCCCCTTGGCAAGTGGGACTAACCAATGGATCTGCAGACCAGTGCTCAGCAACTCTGGAAATCAGGCCCTCGAGGCCTCAAGCTGAAACTTTGGAAATGGAGGCTCCCAAGATTAGTGAACAGTTTTGAAAACTGGGCATTTTCTTTTTACACTCCCAAGTGGAAGCTAATGAGACTCATCAGGTCTGGTTGCCAGGGCAAGTCTGCAAAACAGCCCTGCATCTCTGTGCAGGGGCTCAAAGCCTGGCATCTTCTACTGTCTTTGAAATTAAAGGAGAGTTTTGCATTCAGAGGGGCTGGATGGCTGGGGTGTTTCTTGGTGCAAAGGATCATAGATCTAACGGACAAAATCAAGTCTGAGGCTTAACAAGTAAGTTGCAAAAATTTAAGCTAGGTGACTTGCAGGGTGTGAGGCTCTTACTTGAACCAAAATTGCCTCTTACGTGTCCTGGAATGAAAACAGAATTTCCAGAATCTCTCTGGGCTGTTTATTTCACACCCTGAACGTCTGGCTTGACGTGTGAAGTGTTCACCCCAGTGGACAGACCTGCCCTGACATGAACACACCACACCCACCCAGAGAACTCCTGGCAGAAGGGGACATCACCCTGCAGACAAACAAACAAGGGCAGGACGCAGCTGAAATTATGTTTGGAGTTACTTCTACATTAATGAGCTGGAGATCATTCAACTCTCCAGAGCTTTTATTTGGAGTCTGTGTCATTTCCCATGGGAGCGGCAGCTGGCATACAGTGGGGATGGCTGGGGAGCACAGTACGAGACACAGAAGTATGCTAACAGACTCAGGCTCATTAGTGATGTTCCCAGGAGACTCCAGCAGCTCCGAGCGTTCTTGGGCTGGGTTTCTTAAAATATATAAATAAATAAAAATCACTCATTTATTTCAACTAAGCCACTTTTTAAACTTCCAGGACAGGGCACCTGAGTCCAAGCAGAGGGGATGCTTTCATTTTTAGATAATAAGCTCTTTGGGGTGAGACTATCTTTTCATTATGTTTTTGTACAGCAGGCCGCGGATCCATGATTGGGGCCTCTAGCCGCTACTGCAATACAGATAAACAATACATTATGTTACTCTTCTTAGTTAAGCATGGTTGATATGATCAGTACTGTATGAGACACGCAAAAAGACAGCTCCACCCCCAGACTAGGAGATGTGATGCACCGGATGGCCCAGGAGGGACATATCAGGGTACACTGAGTCTGGGTGTGGATGGGGTTCTAAGTTTCCAGTCCGAGACACTATCTAGCTGATGACACCGCACTGAAAGTGACAGCAACAACTTACGCATTTTCTCATTTGCAATCAGGAGGCGCACTGCTCTTTCTTGGCCCTCCCAGCAAACTGTTGGCCGAAGGCAGCATTAGACTAATTAGCAGTAATTAATTTCAGATTTCAGAGTGCCTTCTTATAAAACGACCCCTCGCTTTTTAAACTGCAGAGGGAAAGCAGCTATTTTTCAAAGAAAGAGTTGACGGGCCCTGGAACACGAAGTCTTTGTCTCCTTTCAGATTCAAAAGAAAGTGATCAGAGTGCAAATTGGACAGCAGTGTTTCTTCCCAGCTACTTAATGCTGCTTTGTTTCCAAAGCTATTTCTACCAAGTGAATCGGCTACACAAAAGAAGTGGACTGAAGACTAGCGTAGCCAAGAATTTAACAGGACGAAGGAAACAAAATGCACACTGAGATCTTTGTTCTGCTAAAGGACAGCAACCAAAACAGCACAGTGCAGGGAGTTTGTCACTGACCGGGCATTTCCCCTTTGATTGTACTGCTGGGTCCATACGGCCCAGGGTGTAAGGGCCATGCACGCTCCATGCTTTAAGGAGCCTCAGCACTATCACGTTGCCACAATTGCAGACATTTAAAGGTACATCATAAATCCCCGGCTACATACATGGAAAAGCTTTAATCGTGGGGACAAGAAACAATCTTGCTAATGGCATGTAGGTTTAATTTAGGCTGAGATTGCAGACGGGGTGCCCTGAGCTGGCAGGGGTCAGATGGCAAACCAAAAACAGGCCCCTGTTTGTGTTGGCTCCAGCTCTGTGCCCAACCTCTCAAACCCCTCCGTCTGAACAGAAATGAGCACTGTTCTCCCACCTCCCATTGGTGGGCTGGCAGTAGGACACATTTCATGCTCGCTCCACTTTAACTGGACCTGTTCAGCCAGCAGAAACGAGACAATGCCCTTCCATGTTTAAGACAGGCTTTTTAGAATCAATGCACCCTATAAAAAGATGATTAAAAAACCCAGCAAGAGGATTTTGCAGGTGAGCTGCTGCCATGGCGAATGCGGAACGGAGTCAGAGTCAGAGCCCTGGATCTCCACGAACCCCAACTTCTGGACTCCGGCGGTTCCGCCCATCTCCTTCACTCCCATGCCTGTCACTGGGACTTTTGCAGATACCAACACCTGCCCCGTGTTTCAGCAGCTAACCTACACATCTCCAGCTTAGAGCTCATACTGTTTCGCAGGAGGAAGGATAACCAGCACAGGGCCGAGCGGCAGATGATCAGGCTTCTGTACCAGGCTTGGCTACAAACGTCCTGGGTCACTTTGTGCAAATCCCTTAACCTCTTTGTGCCTCAATTTCCCTTTCTGTAATCTGTGGCCAATGACACTAACCAGCCTCATCCCGGAGAGGTTGTGAAGAATGAGCAAAGTGCTTTGAGATCCTGGGACTAAATGGAACCATTAGAAGCCGGGGATTTGCCATCATACACATCTGGATAGCATGGTAGACGTAAATACAAGAGAGGCCTGTCTCAAGCTACCTGATGAGAACTGGTTGGTTGATGGAGACGATCTCTGGCAATAGGGCAGAGCAGAGCAGGACATTTGGAGATGCTATTTGGTAATACTAGTGTAATGGTCCAATACACAATGGTTTATAGTAACAATTCCACAATGTTTGGGGCGATTGATGCAGGGGGTTTTGCAATAGGAGCGGAGATGGGAGGACAGCTAAGAAGAGTGGTCTCTAGAGGAACTGCTATACGGGGACATGCTAAACAGCCATTTTACCCTCAATGAGCTTGGAACGAAGTTTAAGCCAGCATGTGACAATGAAGGGCCGTTAACAATGGAATGTCATCATCAGGCTAGAGCATGAGGCCCCAGCCAAACTCAGGGCCCCATTGTGCTGGGCACTGTACACACACAGCCAGAGACTGTCCCTGCCCCGAAGAGCTGACAGTCTAAACAAAGGGAGGGGAAACTGAGGCACAGAGGGGGGATGTGACTTGCCCTAGATCACCCAGCAGGCCACTGGCAGAGCTGGGAATAGGGCCCACATCTCCCAGTACAGTGCTCTGTCCATGCTGCATCTCCTAAACGAGCATCGTCAGAGAGAATAAAGCACATCAGTAACATTTTATGTTCATAGCAGCAGAGTGTGGGGCAGCTACAGCCTGAAGAAATAGGAGACGTGCTCCTCTGAGCGCTCACAACCCTGCTGCATCCCAGGAGCAGAACAGCTCCAGGCTTGAGGATGGGTGTCCACTTTTAAAAATACCGGGTTACTAGCAAGCGTTAACAGATAACGTGACATTTGAGGGCTGGATGACACTGGGCATGTTAATGGCTGAAGGCTACTGTAGGATTTCAGCACTTTTAGGGGCCTTGCCAACAGTGTGTGGCCAGCAATGGCTTAGCATTCAGACATGCCAGTTCTCATTCATCTGAGGGGAGGGATATTTAGCCTTTAAATTAACTGAACACTGCCCAACACTTCAGCTTTGGGAGTCCGGGGTGGAGAGTTGGTCAGCAAACTCTCTCAGAGCACGGTGGATGGGTAAGAGGAAACCTGCAGCTTTTGGGGCCTGATCTAAAACCCATTGAAGTCATCAGACTGCATTCCCTTGCTATCAAAAGGCTTTGTTTAGTATGGCCCTGATCAAAATCCACTTTCTTGCTGTATGGTACAATGTATTCATTTCTGGTCAGGAGAACAACACTGGCCTCCAAGGGCCAATTAGTGGGAGAACAGGGAATGGAGAGCCAGGTCTCCTGGGTTCTATTCCCAGATCTGCCACTGACAGGCTATAGCCATGTCTACACTTGGCCAGTATGGCTTTACCAACGGACGGTACCAGCAGAGTACTGCTGATGCAGCATATACCAATAAAGCCTTGCTTTTGCTAGTGCGGCTTTCTCCTGCCCCAAAAGGTAAACAAGCTCTACCGGCAGAAGTGCACGAGTCTTGTCAGTATAACTGTGTCTACACAGTTAGGGGCTTTGGCCAGCACAGCTGTGTCAGTCAGCAATGAGGTCTTTTCACTGCCAGATGCACATAGCTACTCCAGCAGAGGTCTGTAGTGTAGAGCTGGCTTCTATGACCTCACAGAATTCACTTGAGCTCTCTGTGACTAAGGTCAGGCCTATACTAGGAACTCCTGCTGGGGTAGCACTGTTGGTTTGGGATGTGATTTTTTGTGACATTTGTGTATCAGCAAAAGCCCTAACGTAGATGCGGTTAGACACTCTTGCCGGTATAGCTTATTTTGCTTCTCAAACGGATAACAGCTATCGTGGCAAAAGCTGCATCTCCAAAGCTTTTCTAGTGTACATCTGGCCTGCGGTTGCTAATCTGTTCAGTGGGTTTTCTTCCCTCACTGGGGTTTTGAGAGGTTTGAACCACGGAAATTTTTGTAAGATATTTTGCGATAAAGGGGTGCTCCAGAAGCGTTATTACTTAACAAGCCACTTACATGGAGTACCCACCACATTGCCTCATGCCATTAATGAAGTCCTTCAGGATCACTCCTCTCCAGCAGTACGTCAGATCAGCTGGGATGGATGGATGGAGCCGCTTTTGTGCTTTATGGTTAGTTTTCATCAGCGAGAACTACGGCATTAATCTAGAAGTAAGCTTAAAAAAAAATAGATGATTGGCCCCCAAACCAAAATCCTGGATCCAAACACTTGCATATTTTAGATCCTGATATTAATCCAGATCTGGACTTTGCAGATGGCCCCCTTTCTCAATACCTGATTGAGCCAAAAACCCGCTTCTAAACCTCTCTGGACTTAGGGGCAGTTTGGATCTGGATCTAAACATTATAAATTCCCCCCTCGTCCTCATATTCCTGAGCCAGAATCTTTCCTCCACCAAACTATGGGAGATGGAAGAGCCTCTTGGCATTGCTGAGCACACAAAACAAATACTACTTTCAAGGTTTGTGTTCTGTGGAATCCTAAACCAATTGAAATAATTAGCAAAGCAGCATCTTGAGCCAGCTATACGGCTTCAGTCATAATAACCCTTTGAATATGCTTTTTAAGTTCCCCTTGACTTGGGTTTGCTGCATAACTCCCTTTTGATGCCAAAAGGCCTTGCAGGCAGAAATATGTAGTTTGTCTTTCACAGAAGCATTGTGGGTAACGCAGTCATCATATTTCCCCACTGCACAGCCGGTGCCCATTAAGATCTCTGGGCTCTTATTTCAAAGATGACTGGAAATTGGTGGGAACACAGTGGTTAACATTAAAAGACATATTTGGCTTGGGGTGGCCAACATTTCAACCTGTTTAGCACTGTAATATCACAGCTGTTTGCCTTTTGTTTCATATCAGAAAGCCAAAGGTTTTATCAAAATAAGAGAGGTCCCCCCCCACCCCCCTGCGCTGCAATCACATTGTCAATGCTCCAGTTCGGCATCAAGACTGGGGCGAGCGTTCTGTGGATTGTCTGGGGCCCACCTAGCAGGGGAAGAAGAAAAAAAAAAAGGGGAGGCTGGAAAATTCTAAAGCAGCAAAGCAAGAGAAATGATAAACAATGGGGCAGGGGTTTTTTCACTCATTTGTTGTTTATTACCTTTCAAATTCAAAACAGTCTTCCCTTCTTGTGAGTCAGTTACCCAGGGCAGTTTGGTAAATGCATCTATTCCTAAGGGGAGGATTGGATTTCCCTTGACCTGATGGTTCACGCATCAATCTGTGTACTTCGTGGAACACATGCTGGCTGAGGGAGAATAAGTGCCAGGGAGAGCACCCCAATTCTCAGGGCTGGCCAAAACCCAGCTGCTGCTGGGTACTTCTAATTGCTGTGCTGATTTGTGGTCTGTCTGGCTCCTACACCAGTGTTGTGTAGCAGAGCTCCCCCAGCCCCAGGACCAGGCATGGGGGGAGGAAGCAGAGGAGCAGACGTGACATTGGCACACTTGCCCGCAGCACCGAAGGGCTGGAACTAGGAGTGCAGGGGGTGCTGCCACACCCCTCTGGCTAGAAGTGGTTTCTATCATAGACATGGTTTACAGTTTGGTTCAATGGCTCTCAGCACCCCCACTATGCAAATTGTTCAAGCATCTCTGCCTTGATGAAAGCCCCCTACATGCAAGTGCATCCACTTTTGTGGTCCTTCTAGTCAGGGAAGCCTGTCCAGGAGAAGCTCACTGGCTCTCTGAGCTTGGACCCCGGTAGAGAAACATTCCGTGGATGGAGGAGCTAGGTTCATTTACCGTATGTATTTGTGTAGAAGCCAAATTTCAGGCAAAATTTCCAGCCAGCTTGTATACACATGCCAAAACCCCAGCAGAGAAATGCTCCTAAGATCCCCTGACTTCCCTGCTCCAGTTTCTCATCTGTGCCTGCCCAGAGCGTCAGGGAGGAGAGATGCTGGGCTCCCTGGCCAGAACATGCTTCTACACCCCTGCTACCAAACATACCTGAGCTCCTGCTACAGCGCCCCCCTCCCCACACACACACGGGACTGGGTTGATCCGCACAGGTGTACATTTTTAAGGGGAAATGAATGGGGTTACTGTCCATGCTAGTCAAGTGAGGCCCAAAATTTTAAACCTGTTTCCTAAAGAAGGCCAGTCTGCAAGTCACCTCAGGGGGAAGAGAGATCTCCAGTCTCCTATCCCAGAGAAAATGCAAAAGGTTCCTTGACTGAGTTCTTTTAGGTCAAGTTTCTGCTTTAATACAAAAAGGGGACAGTCTTAATCCCATCATGGGCCTGATTTTAAGAAGCACTCATGTCACACAGTGCCTCTGCAAAAAAAAACTCAAGAGACCCTATATTGTTAAGTTAAACAACAACTGGAAGGCTGCAGTGTAACAGTACTTTATTTCTTAGAATGTAGAATGATAAGATACAAGAATCCCCAAAACAGAGACACACAAAGCAGGCTGCTCCCTAACAGAGAGGCACAACTCACTCCACCTCACTCTAGCCTAGCTGGCTGCAAAGTGACACAGATAGTACTGGCATGTGACACTTCCCTACAGAGCCCCATAACTGCGAGCAGGACCAGGAAAACCTCTGAGAATTTAAAGTGATAGATCACAATTTTAATTAACACTGTTTTCAATATACCACACACACCACCAGTTGTCAGACATTTTATGTATGCTGCACACATAGTTACTGTATCTGTAGGGGCTCAGTCCCAGGGTTAATTATATTGTCTAAGAAGCTGGATAACTTTTTAGTGGGTCTCTCAGCCAGACAACAAGCCCTCAGTGTTGCCTGCAGAATAAACCCTTGGTTTTCTGCTAAACTTTAGAGGATATTTGTGTTTGTTTCTCTTAACAGGCTGGTTACCTGCAACCCAAACATAAAAGACCCTATGTTCCGAACGCATAAATCTGCTCATGGCGTCTCCGGCAAATCTCTTGATCAGCACGTTCCTCTCTTTGCTCTTTATTTACTCAGGTGTAACAGCCATTATGCCTGCTAGGAGAAGGCAGCCAGCCCTGGATGGGTTAGAAACTCTGGGCAATGACAGATGCCCCTAGTAAATAGCTGGCATAATATCCTGCCCTGGGTAGGAGCATGGAGGAGTGAGGAGGAAGCATATGGTTTCAACCTCTATGAGGGTTCAATGAGCTAGGGACAGAGCAGGGCAGGATGACTCAGGGCAGGGCAGAGAGCACATGGGGTGGGCTCAGAGGAACAGCTAGAACCCCTGGCTAGCACATACTGTCTACGTGCTAGCCAGCTGGGGCCTGGACCATGCCTAGCTTCCACCTAGCATGTATCAGTAGGCACGATGGCATGCATGTCCCCCTTCTCGTGCTAAATCGGATCCCGGCTTCTCTTGTGTGCAGGGCTGTCATGGGACAGTTCCCCTCACTTCAAGCCCCATTTCATGGCCTGCTAGTAATGCTCCTCTGTCCCACAGAGTCCAACTGCGCAGCACCCTACCCACACCAGATATTTACCATGGGAATGTGCCTTTTTGTTCTGAATGGGAGAATTTGTTCTATTTAATACACAACAAAAGGGAGGTAAACTTGTTACACTTTTTAAGGACTTTGTCCCTTTGGTTTATTGTGCTGGGATGCCAAGTGCTAGAAGCTAACAATACACGGCACTTACACCACCTACAAATCCCTGGAGGCTCGTCCAGCTGGGACAGTGTGCTCTAGGATTCCCATCTGTGGGGGCACAAGGTGCAGCTGGTTCATAGCTATGGACCTGACAGGTTTCCATGGCAGAGGATGATGGGCTACATGGAAGCTCACAGCACGGGTCCTCTGTGCAGCTGCCTGATATTTGTGGGCTTGGAGTCTCATTGTGATTGGGCTACAGAGATACCTAGAGAGATTCATAGAGTTTAAGGCCAGAAGGGAACGTTACATCATCTAGACGGACCTGCATAACACCGACCACATACTCCAGTACGGAGCCCAACAATTGGATGTGTCTAAAGCATCTCTTCCAGAAAGGCATCCAGGCTTGATCTGAAGCCTTCCAGAGATGGAGAAACTACCATTTTCCTTGATGACAGATAGGAGCTCCAGTTCCTGTCACCTACACGGTGACAAAACCCACGGTAGCCCTCCTGACTGGTGATGTGGGGGGATGGAGAGAAGATCCCTAGCTCTCAAGGAGTCATGGAGTTTGGCCATTATTGGATGTGTTCCCCTCCACTTCAGCGCCGTACAGGAGCACGTGGGCCTTTGTTATTTGTCTGACTCGAGGGGTTTCCGCTTTTCCCTTCGGAATGTGCGTCTGTTGGTTCAGACAATGAGCAAGCCCTACAGACAATCAACTCAAAGCAAACATGGGAGCTGGCACTGCAGTCTTCTGCTCGGCTCCACGACAGCCTTCCACTGCCATGCATGGCGCCTCCTCTTTCCAACCTTGCCACAAGAAGCTTTCGCTGCACAGGAAGACAGGCTTTGGATCTTGGAAGAGCTCCTCACAAGAGATCAGCTCCCCCAGTTCCCAATGAGCCTGGGTGCTCCCCTACCTGAGAGAGCGCTCATGCTCATTTCTGGACGTGTTCACAAATACTGCAGTCGGCGAGGCTGCATAATCTCACAGGGAAGAGGATGGAGGACAGTGTTTACAAACAGCAGAGGCATTAGCCAAGTAACTGTCTGGCCAACTTAGGACACCTTAAAGGGGCCTGATATTCCATAAGTGCCGAGCACTCACCCTCTGAAACAGCCAAGCCCCTTTAAAAGGCATCTCAAAGTTGAGCACCCAAAAATCATGAACAACTTTTGGCAATTCCGGTCCTAAATCCGTATTCATGGGCCTAAAGAAGCAGCTGGTCATGCAGCCTCATAACCCCATTGGCTCCACAAAGTAGATGAAGTCTCAACAGCCAGGCCAATAAGGTTTCTCCCTATAAAGGCCACAAGATTAACTAACATGGTAGCAGCCGCTGCCTTCAGGGATGTTCAGCAGGGATTTGCTCTAATCTCATTGTAATCTATTGCTGTCATGTTCCAACAATGCTTCACACTCATCACATTTTTTACAAGGGGCAGAAAATGAATTTGTTGCTGAATTGAAAACATGGTCAGAAGTTGTTTCACCAATAACCTAGCAGTTGACAGGTTATCCCAAACAGGAACACACCAGGGCAACCCTTAAAAGCTAGGTAGGTATCAAAGCCAACCATATGAACAGAGCAGCACAAAAATAAGGCCCCGTAAGACTGCTTTAGGTAGTGGCCTGTTAGCAGTTAATGGACAACTTCATCTTTTCCCAAGGGATTTATAACCTGGCCATTAAAATAAAAAACATGCTCTATTCATCAGAGTTCAGCTGAATTTAAGTAGGAAGCAAAAAGGATGTAGGGGCAGGGCAAGAGGGAATCAACCCCCAGACAAATCTGGCTGTCTAACATTTGGGCGGGAAAAAAATTGGAACACAAGATTAAAAAGAGAAGGATATGCTCCCCTGCTGGTTCAATGAGATTCGAGATTAAGGGTGATCCGTTACACATAGGAGCACCAACATCACGCTATGTATTTCTGCTACATTTTTGGCTGGATCTTATCTGTGCCCCCAGGAATAGCCTCCACAGCAACCACAGCCTTGCATGCTCTGTGCGAGAGCTTGCAGGAGCAGAGTCCGTACGTGAGCAATGCATTTGGATCGAAAGTGCTCAGAGCAGATTCGTAAATGGGCGTGAGCTAGCAGGGTTGCATAGATTGGTTCATTTTCACTTCCCCACTCTCAATAAAAGACTGTTTTGGTCTTAAACCATGTGTGGATTGTTAAAGTTTCCAAACAAACAAACTACAGGTTACAGTTCATCCCTTTTCCTTCCTCTGCATTATCAGCTCAGTTGGACAATGAAAATTGACGTCATCAATGGAGACCTTGAGGAGGGAGGGGAGGGAGAAGAGAGGTATTTAAACATCTTGTATCAAGTGCTTTTCTTTACTTTGCCAGTCTGACTGTAAAGATAAAGGAAACTGGTGACCTGCATGAAAGGAGATTATCGTAAGAATAACGTAGTGAAGTTCAGAAAAGTGGGAGTTCCCCCAGTCCTCATATGAAGAATAGAATATTATCACCCAGTGTTGGAAGATTTTGGGACCTTGCAGGTCATTTCCCTGTTGGAGGAGAAATCATTGATGTAATGTCAGAGTTGTGTGTGTGTGTGTGTGTGGACACTAGTCTTTGAACTGAGGTGGTCACAAATGGCACAGCACCAGTCCTCACTTGCAGGGTTTGCAGCTCAAACCCACCAGTGTCCAGTCCCCAGGAAGCACCTCCGCACCAAGAATTGCTTTTAGGAGAGATAATAAGCAGAGCGAACTCTTGCTGTTTGCTAGAACTCCCTACAAAGAATCGACACCATCCACCACAAAAGGACAAATCCACCCTCAAACCAACAATGCAGCATTTCTTCAAAGACTGCTCACTACTTGCATGGTATGAAAAAAGATGAGTGAGACTATGTGCAACAGCGCCATCCAGCAATTCCCCCGATAACCGTACTTTTAAATATTCAACTTGCACCACAGCTATTCCAGTCTGGAGCTACAACCATGTCCCAGAGATCATCCGCGGTACAGTTACTTTCCATCTGTGTTCCCTTTCAGTTTTGATTTAAGACTAATGCTGTGTAGACAATGATGCGTTTTGCAAAGATGGGTACTGTAAAGTGTTCCTTGGGCATCCTGAGATGTTGGCAAAAGCTGCTTGTCTGATGCTAACTGAAGATGTGGCCTTTAGCACCCCAAAGGCAACTAACCCATCCACTCACCCTGGGCTCCTAAAGATATAAGCCATTGTATGGACTGAATTAGTTGTCAGACCACAGATAGCAGCATAGGTATTCTGTCACTTACTTCAGAGACTTCATACCCACTTCCACAGGTCTGCTCCCGCTCCCATTGAAGTTCTGGCTCCATTTGCTCTCCTGGTGGAGTTGGCAATGCATTTTCAGGATACATTTTGTACAGCTAGGGTTTGGGTGTCGGCAATCTGGCCACACAGACATGCAAGAGGACCCCGAACAGCGGTGTTGCACAGCCACCCAATGGGATGTCACCCTTTACTCACACTTGGAGCTTAGCGATGAGTTTGCAGGCCCTAGACACACAGCAATAGAAGTTCTGGTTCAGACTAGAGGTGGGCCTTAGCCACAGAATTGAGACTTGAATCTGAGCTTGCCCATAGCCTGAAGGGGGTTCACACCCACAGGTGCCGGAACTAGGGGTGCTGCTGCATCCCCTGTTTAAAGTAGTTCCCATCATAGATAGGGTTTACAGTTTGGTTCAATGGCTCTCTGCACCCCCACTTTACAAATTGTCCCAGCACCCCTGTTCATACCTGGTGTTCCCCTTCAGAGCCATCCTACAAGGGGGTTTGGATCTGCAGCTCCATTCTAGGCCCATCTCTAATTTGACTCAGTAAGTTTCTTAAGAATGCATTTCTTGCAGCATTTCTGACATAACCAAAACTAGAACAGCTTCTCTTAGCATCCCATGGAGCGAGCTGTGGCTCACGAAAGCTCATGCTCAGATAAATTGCAAAAAGAAAAGGAGGACTTGTGGCACCTTAGAGACTAACCAATTTATTTGAGCATGAGCTTTCGTGAGCTACAGCTCACTTATGCTCAGATAAATTGGTTAGTCTCTAAGGTGCCACAAGTCCTCCTTTTCTTTCTGCGAATACAGACTAACACACACGGCTGTTAGTCTGAAATCTTAGCATTTAATCGGTCTCCCATTGAAGAGCCATATTGCTTTCAATTAAGAGGCGGATCAGGCCCATTTATCATTCCATCGTGTCTCCCAGAAGGAATCAGGGGCTTGGGAGACTTATCTAAACTATGTGAACCAGAGAAAAAAAGGACTCCAGTCACTGTTTGGGCCCTATTTTATCCTAACTTTTCCGCTCTCCCTCGGGGAGAACACGTCACAGATGTTTTACCAGCTGCGGAAGTTCTCTCTTTATGCTACACTTTTTAAAATAAAAAGGTTTAAACCACAAACAACATTCCAGTGACTTGGCAAGTCTGATTTAAATCCATCAAAGCAAGGAAAACTCACATTAGATGGGGCTGTGGCTTCCTTCTTAACTCTGCCCTTTGCGCCTCGGGGTGCAGCAGGAGGCTTTCCCAAGAGCGGGTGGCTTGGGCACAAACATTCCTGCCTGGACATGGAGCTCACTGGCTTGGAGAGACAGCAGGTCCCACCAAGCAGCTAGTGTTACTGGAGCACAGTGTGGTTTCTTTCCAGTTCTTTTCTTCACTGCCACATCCCCTGTGGGAAAAGGATCAACTTTTATGCTCATCCAACTTGAAAAGACCCCATTCTAACATTAGTCCCTTCAGCCTTCCCGTGCTCCGGCCAATTGTTTCTCTGTTGAAGCGTGTCTAATTAGAGGCAATCATTTTTTGGTTCACAGAAGCCTTCCTGCTTGTCAAGGAGAAGAGGATCTTAATCCTCTGTGCCGAAATAATACGTCACTGCGCAGAATGGGTCACAGACAGAGGATTATGATGGAGACTGGTGGGGGAAAGCCCTTTGCACACATGAGAAGGTAGGAACTATTGATCCAGAGGCAGGAACCAGGAAAGAAACCCTGCAAAGCAGATTAGCCACGTGAACACACAAAGCCTACAGTAAGACCACCACCACACGACTGAAATCCCTGGGTGAATTCACATCTTTTGTGGAAGAAGTGTCATCAGCACATCTGATAAAAATCTGAGTGAGAAGGCCAAGGAAATTCTTTAATACTTTCATGGTGAGAACTCCAAATCATTCACAAAAGATAAAATTGTAAATTGATAATGTTGGATGAGGCTTTTTTGGGGGGGGGGGGGGGGGGGCTCATTTTTTCCAGTGGCTTACAGTGCCCACGGGAGAGCAACCTGATATTTATTTACAAAAAAATAGAAAGAAAAAGACAGTTCTTTTTCAGAGTCTTATTCTTTGTAAGTATCCAGAGCCCACAGTGATGGGCACATTTTCAGTGAATACAGCCCAGTGATTAATTCATAGCAAGTCATTTAAAAGCTGACAAGTTTAGGCACTGTCCGGGCCAAATCCCATATGGCTGTAATTACATGCAGCCTATCTAAACTCCCCCTTCAAATAGGTACAGCATTATTCTTCACTTCCTGCTCTAAACTCTTGAGTAGTTTTACTGTGCACCATTGAAGAGCTGCTGTGTTCTCCCCCAGAAGTGGCTGCATTTCATCATTTTAAAAATGTGCTGTATTATTGTGGCTGCGGAGGAGGGAGAGGAAGAAACACCTATAGGTCCTAGGTCTATCCTGAAAGGGAATCGTGAGGGTTAATTCCTGTTTGGGAAATGCTCTGAGAGTTTGAAGCAGCTCAAATTTTACAAACCTTATTTTAAAAAAAACCCTTAGACCCCTCCCACATTGCTGCGGGACAGATTTTTCCGCGCACGGTGCTGTACATGCAGCCATGTAGAATGTAACAAGTACAGCGTGTACATCCAAGGACGTGAGAAGCACTTGAAACTTTGGTATCTGGACAGGCTGCAAGCAGAATATTAAGTTACAGACACAAACTGTAAATACAGACAGACTGTGGCAGGAGGCCTCCCTTCCGGACTGGGAACGTCAGTTATGCTTCATCAGGTGCTCAGGGGGCTTGGAAATGAAACTCTGCAGGGATGGCCCGCACAGCCCTTCTGCTGCTGACAAATGTGAAAAAGGCTGTCGACGAGGAAGAGAATGGTTATAAATGGATAACTCCCCGGACAAGCTAGGGAACTATTTATAGCAAGCTTGAACTCGGCTATTGGCTAAACCTACTGTGTTACTCTGCAGAAGTGGAGAAATAACTAAACCATCTTTTGGATGGCCAGATAAATTCGCCGTGGCTTAAATGTGTTCACAGAGTTCTGCTGTGGAAGCCAGGGCTAGGAAGGAGGTAGGGGGGCGTCTGGCCCCCTAATGCCATAAAACGACTCTTCCCTAGAGCATATTCTCTAGGGTTTGCCCAGTGCAGTTTTCAATGAGCAAGGCTGATGGCTGAGCTTGTTAGAAACACTGAGCTAGATGGCTGGAGGGGAGGGGAAATTCCACAGATTGCTGTGGAAGACACATTGCTCAGGGACAGCTGAGAGATAAAGGTAGGGTACATAGGAGCAGGACCCCTCTAGTCACCCTGCCCTCTGCAAGCTGCTGTGATCAGAGCTTTGTCCCTCCCATTGGCGCCCCCCCTCCCCACACCACACCCACTTAATTTCTTTTGGCAGGTGCCCTGCTCACCATGGGTGCTGGTGATTTGCTGGGAAGTCCTGCAGGCCGCAGGCTGGAGTCCATGGATGAAATGGGAGTGAGCGAACTGATTCAGTAAGGAGAAACTCTGCCCGCTACAGTTACGTGCCCGCTATCACGGCACAGCCTGGGAGCCTTAAAGCCGAACCTCTGGGTAACTGCCAGCAGGAGCAGGACTGGTTCCTGATTGGCTGCTTGGGGGGAGCAGACTGTTCCTGTTAATTCCTCATGGGAACAAACTTCCCCCCCAAGTGGAAACTCTCATGAGAGAAATAGTCTTTCCTGGGCACCAGGTGCTCAGCTGGTTCAGAGAGGGGCTATCTACAGCGCCTCCTGGGGCCTGCTTTTCTCAATTTGTCTGAGGATCTTTTGGGGGCTGGTTGTTCCACTTCCCACCCCCACTCCCAGCAGAGTAGAGCATGATCCAGCAGGGGGCTCCAGAACAGCAGCTGCACTTCAATGAGCCTCCCATAGCCCCAGCTGAGCACTGCTGTGGGGGAAGAGCCCACCCCTCGGCCAACCCTGGCACCCTACTTTGGCACAGTTTGCTTTTTAAAAGCATTTCCCCCTGAAAGGACAAAGCTCCCTGGTTCTCTGCATTCTGTATTGCCAGAATGATCCCCCAGCCCCACCTCTCAATGCCCAGATACAGGCCCAGCCCCCTTGCTAAAAACTTATTCCAAATGGCCCGTGGTCACCTGGCATGGGCAGAGACAACGAAGCAACGGGAACAAATGTGCGAGATCACAGCTGAGCCTGGGGCCCGGCAGGCAGTAGGGGCAACGGAACGGGGAAGCGTTTGCATGGCATGAGGGGGCATCAAATGCCAAGGGCCAAATCCCAACCCAAACTTGGCTGGGCGACAAGACTAAACACATGCTGTGTGGTGCATTAGCAATGAAGCATGTTACCGAAAAGCAGGAATGGTTCCCACTGAGTTGTGACAGTAGCCACTAGCCTCTAGAAGAAACAAAAGGAGAGTGGGGTTGGTCCAGGCTGTGGCCACAGAGCAGGCATCTGCTCAGACAGAGCTGCCAGGCTGTAAGCACTTAGGGGCAAGGACTGCTCCTTTTGTGCCTTGTCCAATGTCCAGTACCTCCTCTGCCCTTAAGGACAGCAATGCTTAGCAGCATTGCCTAGTGGCTAGAGCACTAGCCTGGGACTCAGGAGGCCAGGGTTCAACTCCCGGCTCTGCCACTGGCCAGCTGTGTGACTTTAGGCAAGTCAGATCCCCACTCTGTGCTTCAGTTTCCACACTTGTAAAATGGGGATAATGATCCTGGCCTCCGTTGTAAAATGCTTTGAGACCTGCCGATGAAAAGCGCTGCGTACACAGCACTGCTCTTAATGACTTTGTTCTACATGGCCAACATGTCTGTGCAGAGCAACACCGACACTCAGACACAGACACGGACACGCAGACCTTTACATCCTGACGCAGACCCCACTCTCCAAAATGGGGCCAAACTCCCTATCTGCACCATTCCCTCCTCTGAACTGGCCCCTCATGGACTCAGACACACGAGTTTCTACCACCTGAACTCAGGAGCGAGGGAGAGCCAGATTGTGAGCCCATTCAAGATTCCCTCCCGAATCAGTCTCCCATCACATCCCTTCTCCACCAGCCCTCCTCGGCCAGCCAGCTCCGCTGCACCAACAGGGCAACGTCACTCCTCTCCACCTGCGGAGAAGACCAGTCTCCTGATCCTCTGCTTCCCCAGGCCCCCACAAAGCCCAGAGGCGAGGGGACCTTCTCCCCTACCCCATGGAAGGGACCATTTTGGAACACCGAGAGCGTCTGAAGGCAGGAAGAGGTTTTAATAGGAACAGTTTTGCAACCTTAACTGCAGCGTGTGCTACCAGGAGCCTTCTCTAGCACAGGGACTAAAGCGATTCTTACGGGCGTCCGCCAAACAAGCATTTCCGCCCAGTGCAGTGGTGGTAGCACTATCTTGTGGAGAACGCAGAGGAGTAGGAATCAGCAGACATGGGTACTACTCCCAGTTCTGCCACAGACGTCTTATACTTCTCCGTGCCTCAGTTCCCCCACCTGTCAAACATCCCAGGGGTGTTGCGGGGCTGAATTCATTCACATCTACAGAGCGAGCAGCGCTCCTCAGGTGAGAGGTCTACAGAAGTAGCCAAGCTGGATTATTTCAGACCCCTTGGGATCGTTTTCATTCAGACCTCAGTTTTTAGTGCCGTCACCTATGTCAGTTACAAGCTATGTGAGAGGGGGAAACTGCCCCCCCGGGGAAGAAATCCTATGGAATCATTCACAGCCCTTCCTGCAGGTCAGGCATTTTTAACATATGGAGGCACAAAGGCTGCTCTCCTGCCCTGCCCCGGCCCCCGTCAGGTCAGCTTGGTGTGAGGACATTCAAATGTTTGTAAATCAGTTTATGGGTTTGGGGACTGGCAGACGCTGAAGCTGAATCTTGGCACCACCAGCTAAGTCAGGACTTGAAAGGACAGAGCTACCGGCAGTTTTCCATGCCTCACAGCTGAGCTGGGTTAGTACTGGGAGGCCAGCGTTAAAGCTCAGCACTTGGAATCTAGTCCTATCTTCAATACAGTGCCAGAGTCTATGAATGTGCTTGGGGCAGCCTGGTGTCCCCTTGTGATCTGCTCAGGGCACTGAGCGACGGGTCACAGACTGGGGTGGGAATGGAACACTGCAATATGTTGTATGCACTAGCTCTGTTCTTTAGCACAGAGAGTTCCTTTTGTAACAGTATTTTTGGTATCAAATCCAGGCCTTTGGGGATAGTGCACGAGCCACGAAGAATTCAGCTTGACTTTCACATCCCAGGTGGAGATTGTAGGAGTAACAGGCAGGAAAAAACAACATTGCTTCCATTGCAAGCTCTCTGGGCAGGGACCATCTTTTTCTGCTGTGTTTATACAGCGCCTAGCACCATAGGGTCCGGTCCATGACTGGGGCTCCTCGGCGCTACCACAATACAAACAAATACTATTTGTTAACTGAGCAGATACGATCTGCAAGCCAATGACAGACAGCAAATAGGGGAACACCACATAATTTTAGTCACTTTGCAGCACAGAACCTCCCTTTAGGATCCTAATGGGCCTTTAGAGGCTTGTAGATTAAACTCCTCTCAAATGACCCATATGGGGCACAGAGTAGAGCTGCGTGAATAACATCACCGCACATGGTTCAGTGCTTACACACTGGTGTACAAGGGCTGGAACTGGAGTCACCCACAGGTATCCAGTGGCCTTTAGAACCTACTGCTCAGACTCCTAGACTACGTGGTGTCTTTATCTGGTCCCCGTGACCGATTCAGAGGGTGTTGAATGTAAGATGAAAATGAAAGTCCAAGCTCTTACAATCATAGTGATACCCTGCTGAATGTGCATTGCTATAGTTTCATTGTAGAGCATCTATCTATGGCTGTTATGAACAAATGGTGTCTTAGACAGAGGAGCTACAGAAACTCCGGTTGGGTTGGACAACCCATGGGCTGGTCAAAGCCATTTCTCTTATTGTATTTAATACACAAACACACATTCCTCTCTTCCACTCACTTATATTTTATTCTTCTCTCAGCTTTCACTGTGGTCACTGCACTGACAAACCACATGCTGGCAATAAAGCAACAAGCCCTGGTTATAGCATCCCAAAGCCTGGCTAGAGAAGCGTCATTTGCCACCCCTGGCTCCCTTTAGACCAGGCACTGACATTCTACACAGCACACGGGCTTACATTAAACTCCCACACATGGCACTCCTCCCGCACAAAAACACAGTGGATCTGAGAAAGCCATGGCTGGAAGCAGCCCCTTTCTTAGCATTTTGGAGCAGCCTCCCTTGCAATACTTGCAACTACTGCAGCGATCACCCTCAACATTACAACATCACTTCTGTCAAAGGCTGTGTTTTGTGGAATGCTATGGTGCTATTTCCCCAGGGCTAACCTGGGAATCTGGTTCCCCACCACCTCCTATTTCACATCCACACAAGCTCCTAGCCTGGCCATACCTTCTGTTAACTGTCTCGGCCAGCATGCCATCAAGGCGATCGGACTCTTCCCCTCCCCATGTTCTAGGGATAGACTTCCAAAACATGGAGCCCATCTGGGCTAGCAGCAAAGCAACCTGCTTCATCTCACCATGCATGCTGCAGGGAGGGGATTGCAACTGATGAATTACACATGCGAGGCCAGATTCACCGCTGCCCTGCCCCATACCTCGTCATTTACACCAGTGCAAAGAGGGCATCAGACTCCAGATTCGTCTGGTTTTATTATATTATACCCAATCGGGACTGGTGCAAATGAGGACACCAAGTGGAGAATGAAGTCCATGACATCTGGCTGTGGTGCAGGACCCTCCTGAAAGTTGCACCTGTTGAGCTGATGCAAAGAGTTACTAGAGGAAGCCACGAAGTGCACAAAAACAGGTCATTGGTCCTACAAAACCCAGGAACTACATGTTCCTGAGCCTACTGACACCGTATCTATTTACACATACAGGGTATTATTCTAATAGCACCCAGGCCATGGTCCTTTACCACCGACAGACTAGATTTCCCTGCTACAGATATTAGCTGTTTAATGGCAGATTTAGACAGATTCAGCTGGATCTGTTCCCTGCATGTGGCCCAGCGAACGTGCAAACATGTTGATCTAGCAGGCCCAATAATCTCCCAAAGATTACATCTGACAGATGGTGAGACATGGTATTGTCCCTCCCCATCCCCCTTCACACACACGATTTACAGGACCAGACTGTACTTACTGGTAACTGTATGCTTCTGAAATTCAGGGGCAGCAGTTAACTCTCTCCCTGTGCTATAAAAAGCCACATCAGTTCTTAGCGGCGTAAGGTACCCGACGTACGTGTGGGCTCCTTCCAGGGAACATTAATCTTATCAAGTGGCAGCTCAATGCCAAGAGATACACAAGGACAGCGGAGGGAGCTGTCCTTGTGTATCCAGCGGAGCAGATACACACAGCGGGCTCCCTCATGGTGCTGCTCCCACTAGCTGTTTACAGGCAGTAAGAGTCTGGTCTTGCAAAACCCTAGCTCAGGTGAGAGGTCTGCGGCACCACTCATGCAAGTTAGTGCTATTATTATTTCTATTATAGT